AGTGAAACCTATAGTAAAAGTTCAGTGTACAATGAATATGTTACCCAACTAACAATTATCACTCCTATTAGAGTTGCAAGAATGATTATACATTATTCCTTAAACAGCATTGTATACTGTAAGAACATTGGCAAAACCCTCTTAGAACAGCTATACAAGCGGAATGGGCACACCTAATAGGACACTTCAGTCATTTAAAATGTTAAATAAGGGCTGCAGGTAACAGTTATAAAACAAAAGTGTAAGCCTCTTGCAGCCGCTATAGGACATTTGCGTCAGTGCAAGATTCAGTTTTTGTCAACTATACAACTATTTTGTTACGTGATTCTACTTTCTTGCAACCAAACTATTTCTTATGTATTGTTTACAGTAACACATTACTGTCATCTTGTTTACTTACATATCGGCCATTGTGAATTTCATACACAGGTACATGGTAAACTTCAACACTGTGATATAGGGCTATTGAATTACTTGCTCAGCAAATTTTATTGTGATTATCGTGCAAAGTAGTTACCCAATTTCTACGGGCTTCATATTTGATTCATATTTTGACTATGATCAAAAGTATGTCTAGATTTTTAAGATGGAAAACTGAACTTATCTGCGTTAAATCTTCCACAAATCCTATATTTAGATACAATTACACTAATTTTTATCACTTTATATCTGTAATTTCGAACTGAAACATAGTTATTTAATATTAAATAGAGGAATAAATGTTTGCCCAATAAGGCGGGTGGTTGTGTACAATCATGGCATCGTCCATGTTGTCGTTAGGTTATTAGAATATTTTGGTCTTGCCTGCAGGTGTTATACAACAATTTGACAAATGTCTGAAATGAAATACCGACAGAGTCGAATGATTCACCCAGAATTTGTACCAGATCTATATCCTCTGTTTGAACAGTTTTTAAAACCTGTTGAACCAATATGCATGCGTTTTTTGTCTTAAAACATTGATTATGGCATTTTAGCTTTTTATTATATGACAGCAGAAAGTTAGGTTATGGTGAAGTTGTTTACCAACATATTTAGCATGTGTACAGCCTTTGACAGTTACTAAACAACAGCTGTACAAGTGCTTCCGTTGGGAGCAATTTGTTGGCTAAAGTAGTAAATTGCACAGCAAAACAACAAGGCTCAGGTTTGTTTTATAAACGTTACCATGGATGCCACAACACAACCATTTTGACTAACGTGCAAATATGCCGTATAAAATAGTTGTATAAACGTTTATGCAACAGTTAAAAATTTGCCCTATAAGGTGTTGTATAACTTTGCTATAAGAATATTTTAGGCACTTCATTTTAGAGCAAATATGCTGCAGAAAGCAAATCTGCATTGCACATAACATCAAGGCAGCATTTTTGTGTTCAGGCAACAACAATAGAGAGCTTTTATGGCTGAACGGTTCTTTTACCAAAAGCTTATACCACTGCTTTGCTAGTTGGGTATAGGTATAAAAGTAAAGATGACGAAGTACTCATAGTAACAGTGTTCATCTAAACATCCGGATGATTCCTGGCAATAGATCACTCTCGAATTTGATTCGGAGGCCGTAAGTCAAAAAGCATAAAACGGAAGCAGTTCTAGCGCCAGCAGCGTTCGATCGTATAGTAATTCGGAATTAAGGTCAGTCGTAAACAGCAATTTGTGCTTCCCACGTCCGAACCATCGGCGTACCTCCATAGCCTCTACAAATTACCCTTGTAAAGAAAATGCGAATTATTTTCACCCGACTGCCTCGGAAAAGGATTACGTATTTCGCACGTGGATATGTATATATTAGGCAACAAATTCTGTTCGACGGGCCACAGTCCAAGCGATTGGATAGATTTTGAAATGTTAGAGATTGCTAGGTTCGTCTTAGAGTATTCAAATTCTGTGGAAACAAATTGAGGATCTTGATGAAAGTTTCAGCTTTTAAATTTCTGTTTCACGTGCTACGTCTGGCTCAATGGACTTCATTGATAGTGACCTAGATTTGTTTGATCGGACATTGAGTATGCCAAAATGTAATAAAAGCAAAATAGCAGCCTCTAAGCTTCAACTATGAAATTTCTCTTCTTACGGCTACATACAGTCTGATGAGTTTCCACATTTGAGTTGTCGTTAGATTTTTACTGAAAGCGCAATCGGAAATTCATTCTCTCTAGTTACTGGACTGTTCCATCAGTTTAAACAGGCTCAATTCCAGAGGAGATAAGACGGTAGATTCTCAGTAGTTATTCCCAGAATAACAGCCCAACTAACAATTATCACTCCTATTAGAGTTGCAAGAATGTATTCCTTACACAGCACTGTATACTGTAAGAACATTGGCAAAACCCTCTTAGAACAGCTATACAAGCGGAATGGGCACACCTAATAGGACACTTCAGTCATTTAAGAGGTTGTATAAGGGCTGCAGGTAACAGTTATACAACAAAAGTGTAAGCCTCTTGCAGTCGCTATAGGACATTTGCGTCAGTGCAAGATTCAGTTTTTGTCAACTATACAACTATTCTGTTACGTGATTACATCTTGTTTACTTACATATGGGCCATTGTGAATTTCATACACAGGTATATGATAAACTTCTACACTGTGATATAGGGCTATTGAATTACTTGCGCAGCAAAATTTATTGTGATTATCATGCAAAATAGTTACGCAATTTCTACGGGCTTCGTATTTGATTCATATTTTAATAATAATCAAAAGTATGTCTAGATTTTTCAGATGGAAAACTGAACTTATCTACGTTAAATCTTCCACAAATCCTATATTTAGACATAATTACACTAATGTTTATCACTTTATATCTGTAATTTCGAACTGAAACATAATTATTTAATATCAAATAGAGGAATAAATGTTTACCCAATATGGCGGGTGATTGTATATAATCATGGCATCGTCCATATTGTCTTTAGTTTATTAGAATATTTTGGTGTTGCCTGCAGGTGTTATACAACGTTTTGACAAATGTCAGAAATGAAATACCGACAGAGTCGAATGATTTACCTAGAAGTTGTACGAGATCTATATCTTCTGCTTGAACAGTTGATAAAACCTTTTAACCAATATGCATGCGTTGTTTGTCTTAAAACATTGGTTATGACATTTTAACAAAAATATGATAGCAGAAAGTTAGGTTATGGTGAAGTTGTATACCAACATATTCAGCATATGTACAGCCTTTAACAGTTACTAAACAGTTGTATAAGTTCTTCTGTTGGGAGCAATTTGTTGGCTAAAGTAGTAAATTTGCACAGCAAAACGACAAGGCTCGGGTTTAAACGTTACCATGGATGCAACAATACAACCATTTTGACTAACTTGCAAATATGCCGTATAAAATAGTTGTATAAACAGTTAAAAACTTGCCCTATAAGGTGTTGTATAACTATGCTATAAGAATATTTTAAACACTTCATTTTAGAGCAAATATGTTACAGAAAGCAAACTTGCATTCCACACAACATTAAACCAGCATTGTGGTGTTCAAGCAACAACAATAGAGAGCTTTTATGGCTGAACGGTTCTTTTACCATAAGCTTATAGCACTACTTTGCTAGTTGGGAGGAAACGTAGAGACACAGCACTAACGCATCTTCTTTGATTTTACGAGTTTGATCTATCAGTTAAAGGTTACACATTCGCCATTTTCCACAAACGTTGACGACAGGCTTTAAGCCTGATTCAGGAAATGATACGGAAGTTCTTCAAAACGCAGATGTCCGAAATTTTCTTCTAAAATAACAGTGCAAATCGAGACACAAGATTAACGCATCTTTTATTTTGATTTGACCGGTTTATCCTATCAGTAAAAGTAAACTCATTGACCACCGTTCACAAATGCCGGCCACAGATTTTAAGCTAGCATTTTTGATTCCGCAAGTGGAAAACAGTCATCTGAAACGTAAGATTTCGATAGTTTCTCCTAGAATAACGGAGAAAATCAAAACGTTACCGCATTTGACCGACTAGTTGACGTATGTTCATTCACCAGCTATTACGTTCGATTCCGGAAGTGATAAAGGAGTCCTTCAAATCCCAAATTCTCAATAGTTTCTTTGATATTAATTACTGCTGTCCGCTCAGTTAAAGTATATGCATTCACCATTTTCCACTAAGGTGGAACATTTCAAGATAACACGTTCAAGCCCGAAAGTAGTAAGTCCTTTAAAACGTAGATTTGCAATATCCTCTCGCAGAGTCGCCGGCGTTTGGGACTTTATTCCTTGTTTTCAATTTTGTAAAACATTTACATTGTATGTATCCGGTAACCCAAGATTTCAGGTTGTACGTGGAAACAATGGTATTGTAGTACTTAGAAATCAAAAAGGTTGATTGACTGTAACAGCAGGTGCGTTGGTCTCCTAGTTTTTCTTGATTTATTGGGTAAAAAGCCAAAGTCCATGAAGGCAGCTGGGACGCCATCCGGCTTCAGTTGCATTTCCTTCACAATAACCGGGAATATCAAGCAATAAAAATTTCGGATCTTATAAAATTTTACGAGTTTCCCCTATCAGTTTTTCACAAACATCGGTCACTGATATTAAGCTAACACGGAAGTTATAGAAACGCCATTTATATCCTAAAATTTCTATGTTTTTTTTCTAGAATAACAGGAAAACTCGAGATACAAGATTAACGCATTTTTTTTTTTATTTTACGAGTTTGCTCGATCATATAAAGTAAGCGGAGTCACAGTCTTCAACAAACATCGGACACAGATTTTAAACTAGCACGTGCGACTTTTTCGAAAAAAACAGGGAAATTCGAAATACGACATTAACGCATATTTTTTTGAACTTACGATTTTGTCTAATCAGTTAAAGTACGGGCATTCACCATTTTCCACAAACGTCGGCTACCGACTTCAAGGGATTCCGGAAGTAACAAAATAAAAAAATCCTTCAAAACCTAGATTTTCAATACATTCTCCTAGATTTTAGAATAACAAGAAAAATTGAGACAACATTAACACAACTTTTTTTTATTGATTTCAGGTCTATCCAATTAGTCAAAGTATGCGCATTCACCATCTTCCACAAACGCAGACCACATACTTCAAGCTAACTCGTTTGACTCCGGAAGTGATAAGAAACTACTTCAAAATGTAGATTTTCAATATTTCCTCCTTTAATAACAATAAAAATTGAGATACAACATTAATGCTTCTTTTTTGATTTCACGAGATTATCAGTTAAAGATTTTAAGCTTACTCGTTCGAGTCCGGAAGCGACAAGAAACTATTTCAAAACGTAGATTTACATTTTTTTCATCTGGTATACCAAGAAAAATTAAAATACAACATTAAGACATTTTCTTTATTGATTTTAGGTCTGTCCAATTAGATAAAGTATGCGCATTCACCATCTTCCACAAATGCAGGTCATATGTAGATTCTAACACGTTTGATTCCGGAAGTGTCAATGAAGTCATTGGTAGCGTAGATTTTCTAGAGAAACAGGGAAATTGGAGATGCGACTTTAACGCATATTTTTTTGATTTTACGAGTTTGTCTAATCAGTTAAGGTATGGGCGTTCACCATTTTCCACAAACGTCGGCTAAAGACTTTAAGCGATTCCGGAAGTAATAAAATAAAGAAATCCTTCAAAACGTAGATTCTCAATACCTTCTCCTAGATTCTAGAATAACAAGAAAAATTAAGATACAACATTAACACAGCTTTTTTTATTGATTCTGGTCTGCCCAATTAGTTAAAGCATGCGCATTCACCATCTTCCACAAACGCAGACCTTAGATTTTAAGCTAACACATTTGTCCATCTAGATAAGGTATGCGTATTCACTATCTTCCACAAACGCTGACCATAGTTTTTAAGCTAACACGTTTGACTACGAGAGTGACAATGAAGTCAGTCGGAGCGTAGACTTTCTAGAAAAACAGGGAAATTCGAGATACGACATTAACGCATATTTTTTTGATTTCAGGATTTTGTCTAATCAGTTAAAGTATGGGCATGCACCATTTTCCACAAAAGTCGGCTAACAGACATTAAGCGATTCCGGAAGTAATAAAATAAAGAAGTCCTTCAAAACCTAGATTTTAAATACCTACTTCTAGATCTTAGAATAACAAGAAAAATTGAGATACAACATCAACACAACTTTTTTTTATTGATTTTAGGTCTGCCCAATTAGTTAAAGTATGCGCATTCAACATCTTCCACAAACGCAGACCATAGGTTTTAGGCTAACACGTTTGTTTGACTCCGGAAGTGAAAAAAAACTACAGGGTGGGGCAAAAGTCGCGAAGGGATTTGAAAAATTAATAACTTTTTTAAATTTCTTTGATATTAATTACTGCCGTCCGTTCAGTTAAAGTATGTACATTCACCATTTTCCAATAACGTCGGCTACAGAATTCAAGATAACACGTTCAAGTCCGAAAGTAGTAAGTCCTTTAAAACGTAGATTTGCAATACCCTCTCGCAGAGTCGCCGGCGTTTGGGACTTTATTCCTTGTTTTCAATTTTGTAAAACATTTACATTGTATGTATCCGGTAACCCAAGATTTCAGGTTGTACGTGGAAACAATGGTATTGTAGTACTTAGAAATCAAAAAGGTTGATTGACTGTAACAGCAGGTGCGTTGGTCTCCTAGTTTTTCTTGATTTATTGGGTAAAAAGCCAGAGTCCATGAAGGCAGCAGGGACGCCATCCGGCTTCAGTTGCATTTCCTTCACAATAACCGGGAATATCAAGGAATAAAAATTTCGGATCTTATAAAATTTTACGAGTTCCCCTATCAGTTTTTCACAAATATCGGTCTCTGATATCAAGCTAACACTGGAAGTAATAGAAACGTCATTTATATCCTAAAGTTTCAATGTTTTTTTCTAGAATAACAGGAAAACTCGAGATACAAGATTAACGCATCTTTTTTTATTTTACGAGTTTGCTCGATCATGTAAAGTAAGCGGAGTCACAGTCTTCAACAAACATCGGACACAGATTTTAAACTAGCACGTTCGATTTTTTCGAAAAAAACAGGGAAATTCGAAATACGACATTAACGCATATTTTTTTGAACTTACGATTTTGTCTAATCAGTTAAAGTATGGACATTCACCATTTTCCACAAACGTCGGCTACCTACTTTAAGGGATTCCGGAAGTAACAAAATAAAAAAATCCTTCAAAACCTAGATGTTCAATACCTTCTCCTAGATTTTAGAATAACAAGAAAAATTGAGACAACATTAACACAACTTTTTTTATTGATTTCAGGTCTATCCAATCAGTCAAAGTATGCGCATTCACCATCTTCCACAAACGCAGACCATATACTTCAAGCTAACCCGTTTGACTCCGGAAGTGATAAGAAACTATTTCAAAACGTAGACTTTCATGTTTTTCCTTCGTAGCGTAGATTTTCAATATTTCCTCCTTTAATAACAATAAAAATTGAGATACATCAATAATGCTTCTTTTTTTGATTTCACGAGATTATCAGTTAAAGATTTTAAGCTTACTCGTTCGAGTCCGGAAGCGACAAGAAACTATTTCAAAACGTAGATTTACATTTTTTTCATCTGGTATACCAGGAAAAGTTAAAATACAACATTAAGACATTTTCTTTATTGATTTTAGGTCTGTCCAATTAGATAAAGTATGCGCATTCACCATCTTCCACAAATGCAGGTCATAGATTCTAAGCTAACACGTTTGATTCCGGAAGTGTCAATGAAGTCATTGGTAGCGTAGATTTTCTAGAAAAACAGGGAAATTGGAGATGCGACTTTAACGCATATTTTTTTGATTTTACGAGTTTGTCTAATCAGTTAAGGTATGGGCGTTCACCATTTTCCACAAACGTCGGCTAAAGACTTTAAGCGATTCCGGAAGTAATAAAATAAAGAAGTCCTTCAAAACGTAGATTCTCAATACCTTCTCCTAGATTCTAGAATAACAAGAAAAATTAAGATACAACATTAACACAGCTTTTTTTATTGATTCTGGTCTGCCCAATTAGTTAAAGCATGCGCATTCACCTTCTTCCACAAACGCAGACCTTAGATTTTAAGCTAACACGTTTGATTTCGGAAGTGTCAATGAAGTCATTCGTAGCGTAGATTTTCTAGAAAAATAGGGAAATTCGAGATATGACTTTAACGCATATTTTTTTGATTTTATGAGTATCTCTAATCAGTTAAGGTATGGGCGTTCACCATTTTCCACAAAAGTCGGCTAAAGACTTTAAGCGATTACGGAAATAATAAAATAAAGAAGTCCTTCAAAACCTAGATTCTCAATACCTTCTCCTAGACTCTAAAATAACAAGAAAAATTGAGATACAACATTAACACAGCTTTTTTATTGATTCTGGTCTGCCCGATTAGTTAAAGCATGCGCATTCACCTTCTTCCACAAACGCAGACCATACATTTTAAGGTCGCACGTCCCTTTTTTTCAACTGTGCGTTTGGAGCAGTATTATGAGCACTTATTGTCTGATTATTTCAGGGTGGGTATAAAAGTGACTGATTTATGATAATCTCATGTTTTTTTGTCAAAATGACAACTTTTTTTTGCCAATTTTTTTCCAGCCCCAGCTTCGAAACAAATAATCGTAAAGACATGAAATTAAGTGATTGCATTATGAATCAATAAAGGAACGTTCTTTATCGCTCATTTTCCACATATAATTTATTTTTCGAGCGTTTGTTTGACTCCGGAAGTGACAAGAAACTACTTAAAAACGTCGATTCTCATGTTTTTTATTCGTAGCGTAGATTTTCAATATTCCCTCCTTTAATAACAATAAAAATTGAGGTACAACATTAACGATTTTTTTTTTGATTTCACGAGACTATCAGTTAAAGATTTTAAGCTTACTCGTTCGAGTCCGGAAGTGACAAGGAACTATTTCAAAACGTATATTTACATTTTTTTCTTCTGGTATACCAATTAAAATTGAAATACAACATTAAGACATTTTTTTATCGATTTTAGGTCTGTCCAATTAGATAAAGAATGCGCATTCACCATCTTCCACAAACGCAGACCATAGATTTTAAGCTAACACGTTTGACTCCGGAAGCGAAAATAGCGAGTCATTATTAACGTAGATTTTCGATATTTTCTTCTTTAGTAACAACAAATATTGAGATACAACAGTAACGCATCTTCTTTTCGTGAATTTTAATTCTTGTCTTCTGGTATATCAGGGAAAATTGAGATACAACATTAATCCATTTTTTTTAATTCTCGTGTATCTCAATTAGTTGAAGAATGGGAATTCATCGTTTTCAAGAAACGTCGCTAACAGATTTCAGGCTAACACGTCCGAGTCCGGAAATGATGAAAACGTCATTCAAGTCCTAGATATTTATTATTGGTTTCTAGAATATCAGGAAAAATCTAGATAAACATTAACACATTTTATTTTACGAATTTGCTCCATCATTTAAAGTAAGCGCTACCACCATTTTCCACAAAACATCGACCACAGATCTTAACACGTTCGGTTCCGGAAGTGATAAAGATGTCCTTCAAAACCTGGATTGCCAGTATCTTCTTCTTGAATAAGAAGGAAAATCGCATTTCGTTTATTTTAGGTCAGTCAAAGTAAGCACATTCATCATTTTTCCTCAAAACACGTCAACAGATTTCAAGCTAACACGTTCGATTCCGGAAGTGACAAGAGAGACCTTCAAAACGTAGATATTCAATATTTTCTTCTAGAATAACATTGAAAATAAATGTACATGATTGACGCATTTTTTTATTTAACAAGTTTGCCCTATCGGTTAATGTGAGCGCATTCACTGTTGTCAAATGTATATCTTCAAAGGATCAAACGTGTGTTCCAGGTAAGGTGGTGAAAAGTCGCATACCTCCAAGATCCTGAATAGTTCAGAATGAAAATAGTCAGTTATTGCGCAGAAATAGCATGCACCTTCGAAAGTTACCTAAGGAACACACCTTCAATTCTGATGCTTATGAGACAGATTTGAAACCTATTAACCATGGACATAATATTAGTGACGATAAAGGTATTAATGCTAACGATACTAGTGACAGTGTGGGTGTGCAACGTAATCAAAGGATTCGTAGACTGTCCCGTAGATTTAATGTTTATACGACGAATGTCTTTTAAGTTTTGCATATAGAAACATAGTAGGCCGCGCGGATCGAATGTC